TAAGGAGCATAGACTTCATTGAGCGGGTAATCCGGATCTGAAAAAGACGCAAGGGTTCAGAAAATTCTGCTTACACAAACTAAGAGCCATGCATATCTCGCAAGGTATTCTGATCCGGTACAAAACTCCGGCAGCGTGATTATACCTAGTTAACGAGTTAAACTTCGATGTAAATCAATTTATAGAGTTGATGAAAAATGCGACACACACTTTTTCTGCGCGCTGAGGATAGTGATGATGACTTTACACCAATGATTTTGCCACCGGCAACCCTTACGTAAACTACTAGGCCTTTAGCGGGAGAAAGAGAAATTATATTTTGATCACGCATTTAAAACACGTAAATACAAGGAGAATTGATAAGAAGGGTTTCAGCATTTAAATGGTTAAAAAGCTTACCAGTCATGATCAAAGCATTCCTCGAGTCATTTCCCCACATTTCCAGTAAGTGTGGAGCGTCGCCAATTCGTAGTGATGGGTGACCAGTAAATACCTGTGGTACATTCTATGTACTCGGAATAAGCATGGAAAATCAAGTTCGCTAGAAAACCGGCGTAGACAAAAATGACTAGGACATACGAAAACTCACAACACAAGGTGTCTTGTACTCCCTGCAGAAAGATTCGTATATATTCTCGTACAACTTCAGTCTTCCATTCCTTACTAGCTAAAATATACAAAATTTGTACAATGCAGAAAAGCAAAGATGTGCAAAGACCAAACATGCGCAGCGCTTGTACGGTGCCAGTCTAACAATTTCAAACATAAAAGACAGAGCATAAAAGACAGAGCCATAGTACTAGTGACATGGCAAGAAAAATAAACAAACTATCAAGCTGATTACATTGATATGCTCGAAAATGCTGAAGTCTGCATAAGAGAAAGATCAAACGGCCTTCAAAACACAGTAACTCTCGAGGCAATAAAGCATTATATTGTAAAGTAGAGCACATAGCAAAACGGAAATGTAAGTACCAACTAAAATGCAGTATTCACATCAAAGAATTATGCTGTGGATATTGAATCCTCGAGAGAGAGAAGTCAAAAAACCAGTGTGTATAGACGCATATTTATGTGTTTGCGAAGAATCAAATTCGGTCTATAAATATGTAACATAAAAAAACAATCCTCACCCCCATGTGCACAAAAGGCTCTTCGGGAACATAAACAGCATTCTGCCTTGCCTCGGCGAGCCATTCAGCATTCACATTAGAATATGCCAAAGCACCTTTCGCCACAGGTGAGATGAAGTATATCCGCGTTTCCAAAATAGAACCACCCTAAACAGAAAAATTTACAAATGAGACCACATATTCTTTACTTAAAGGCTAGAAATATCGGACAGTTTGTTCCATTCAAGTATACCCATAGCATTTCTGTAAAGAACGTGGCTGATGTCAAACCCATGATAAGAGAAAAGGCCGTAACTGTCACTGTATGTGCTGCGCAAGTGCCATAGTCTTACTCAAAAGCTTGAGACAATGACGAGATTAGAGCTCTACATAATGCTGCAGTGTTAATAGAGTGCTTTTGACTTTTATGACAGCGCAAACAGAACTGTCCAAAGCAACGGACTCTGCCCATGATCGACCCTAGTACAAGATGCAAACAAGATTTTTTTTTGAGAGTGATACAAAACTTACAGCACCATCAATGCTTCTCGAGACAATGTCTATGAGGTCGTAGACCGAGCCAACGGGAGATACCGGGATGAGCACATTGCCACCACGCTTCAGGGTATCCACCACAGTTTGTGCAATTTCCATGATGGCTCCCTGAAAACTGACTTCTCAAAGAGCAAGTACTTATTTGAATGTTGTGCGACTGTTGGGAAAATGCAGATACAGCCTGTAGCGACAAATATT